TTGAAAATTTTCAGTTATTAAATATACGGAAAGTTGGATGTAATTGCCACCATTCCTTGCCGCTTGCTGCTTCAATAGAGCTCATTAGAATATAAGTGGCTTTCTTGGCTCCCACTCAAAAGAATCTCAAATAAGGTTTAAAATAACTACATAACATAATAGGAAATTCATGTTTTTAAATTTCGTATAACCTGTGACTTATGAATGTTGTCTTTTCTTTATCCCATTTTCCTCTTTTTTTCCGCTTTCCTACAAGTTATTGCTCAGAATATGCAAAGGAAGAATATTGATTATTTGAATTAACAATTGAGTGCATCATAATCATCTTCCTCCTTATCCCACTTCCTCAAGGTCGGCGGTGCAGGTTTTTGTCCTCCACATAACTCTATCATACATCCTCTCAATCACTCTCTTCTTGATCATGCCACCTTTCACGGAATTCATCCATTTCCTATTAAGTCTACCTATACCTGTGCCTCCACACTCATAACTAAAGTTCTCCTTGTTACATTCGATTCGATGCGATGAGTGCATGGTACTATAATTGACGAACCCAAAGTTCATGCCTAGTACTAAATTGTAATGCTTGATTTCTTTTCCAGAGCATATTTTACAGTTTTTTTTTTTTTATAATAACCAGTTCGTATTTGAAAAGTTTCGTTTAAAAAGCGAAAGAAGTTGTAAACATAAAACAAATTTACGGTTCCACCTTTATTGCGTCGTGAACCAAAAATATATCCGGAGAATATCCATTACATCCACTTCAATGACTTTTATTTCAATAACGTAGGACCCGAATTCTCTTTTACCTACGCTTTGGTCGGTACAAATCGAAAACAAAAACTAATAATATAACGTTACAATGCTTTTCTGGAAAAATTGTTAGTTATGGATTGTCATTATTTTTACATTATCGGCCAACTATACATCCCCACTGAGGGACTCGGGGCCTAATAAGTGAGGGGTGACTAGGCCATACTCAACAATTCTTGTCCCGTTCAAAGTGGTTAACTTCACAGATATCTTTGGCTTACCTCGTCGAAATATTCGATCGATTCGAACCCGAGATTATAAGCTTACAAGTCAAGTGCTTAAACCCTGAGTCGTCGACACTCTGTAAAATTTGAAATGAATTATAGTACGAGTAGTATGATATAATTTAGCTGACTCTACCATACTATTGAAATATTAACGTACTTATCGTTTAACGAATTTGGTATAAACAGACACCACCGATACAAATATTTGGTTGAAGTTTAAAATTCAATACACTGAGGGTTAAAACGGTGAGGATTTCGCCGCAAAAACCTTTCAGAATAAAGAGTTGAATTATTTTCGTATAAAGCACAGCAAATAAATTCATTCGTGTATATTTTACGAGCTCCAGTTACAGAAAGTTTATGCGAACTTTCCAATTAAACTGAATTATTCAGACAGACGGATAAATTACGAATTGGCAGTAACAAATATTTCGTGGACAAACAACACAAATAAAACGAGCGACAATAATTTATAATGCAGAAATTGTATAAGAAACAATTTTTACCTTTGTAATTACTAACTACGTTTCCATGTATGTAATATCATCAATTACTTTTTTACATTAAATGCACATGAAGAAGGCTAGTATATTATGAGTCTTTTATATTAAATGTTTGAGTTCATATTTCTTTACAATAAACAAACTTTTTACTTCGTCCAAGCTGAATAAATGTTCCTGTATGTTCCATCTACCAAACTATGTTCTACATCTGTGTCGAGAATCGTAATCCATTAAGCAACTTAGGAGCAACATCCATCCATTGCAACTTTTGAATTTAAGAGTATAGAGTATGATAGTTTATTTTTGATTTGATATTTTTTTTTTCAATTCTGTTTAGTAAATAATCCAGTCTGCAAATCGATTCGCCCGAGCGCCATTCCGTTGCATACGTCAGCGGATGTAGCTCAATTATTCACGCAGCCATTTCCACTAATCGTTTAACTGCAGTCCACAGTTATTCGATTACCTTAATTAATAGAACGTGCATGCAGGACTACACGCAGGGAAATATGCTAAACCATTTACTGTACAAAATTGTAGTCAAAGAATTAAATTTGCATACCACTTAAGTTTGTACATAGTTATCGACCTAATTGCATTGTGCGTGTCCACCACCATTACACAGAAATAGCTAGGAAATGAATTTCCTCGACTATACGCAATAAATCTAAAAGTTTTGAATCTGCAAAATATTAGGAAACGATCTGTGAAACGGTAAACTGCTTTATTATTACATTTACTTCATAGAATGTTTGAAAATATCTTTTTATAGAACAAATCCTTGATCTTACTATATTTTTTTTATTTAAGACATATTATAGTAAAGGTATAATAATGTGTACTTTCTACGCGACAATTTCTCTACGTCCTGTGAATAATACGTTTTGTCCACAATGTTACGATATTCATTAATCATATAAAAACCTTTTACAAACCTCGACCTATACTTTGTTAAGGCTTTTAGAAGACATTCTTTTATTATACTACCATGTAAAATATTGTTACATTCGGTTTTTATAGTCTAGGGCACGGAGGACTAAAATATTTTTTTTATTTTATAATATCTTAAGGGTTTTAATTTTTTTAATTCATATGTAATCTACGTAATTCATTGTTTTGCAAGAATGGTTTTAATTCCTTTGTAAGTTAAGCGAGGCGAAGGTCTAATCGACCAGAATAGTGGCCGGATCTATCACGATCAAAAACATTTTAGCCAATACGGAAAATTATTTACGAGTCAGTAGTTCGGTTGATTCAAATATTCGGAATGTCCTAAACTGAACTGTAGATCTATAACATAAATAAATTTTCGCTTTTAGTTTTTATTTAAGCAAATTGATTTTCAAATTTATAAAGTAAATTAAAAATTATTTGATAAAGATTTACTTTTTACTAAATCTTATTTAATCGGAAGGTCTTTCATTGAAATAAAAACTCATTCGACCGAAAATTTTACTGATATGATAATATTGAAACTTTATGAGCCATAAACTGGGAAAAATCGTTAGCATATTATATATTTAAGCCATGTCGCCTGCCATGCCTTTTCAAATTTATTGAAAAACACATACATTTTGAGTTTAAAAATGTTTTATTGTTTTCGCCATTTTGGTTTTATCCACAACACGTGTCAAATTCAGCTAACATTTATAAAGTAAGAATAGGTTTTATAAAATAGAGGATAGAGAAATTAAAACTAAAGTTTCTTGAGTAAAAACAATTTCCTTTTCCTCCATTCGTTTGCGAAGAGGTGGCCGCGTTCAAATGGATTTCTTTCTGTTGTTTGTTATACAATTCAGTCGCGGACTCAAGTAGACGCTTTTCACTTAAAAATTATTTACTTCACTTGACAAAGGTTAATCGAAAAAGAGGGATAAGTCAAGTTTCAAACCTTTTACGAAATAAGCCTTATCCAAAAAAAGAGTTCATTACATAACATTGAGTCTTAAAAACCTTGAAAGAGAGTTTTGTCTTTCTTTCAAGGTTTTCGAAGTTCCATTTAACAGAAATTATGTACATGTAGGTGTTACATAGTACATCACTGTATCTCCACATGACTTGCAGTTCAATTGGCTTGACTGGACGTTCCTGACCACAAATTGTTGCGGTGTCCGTACAGGCAACGTGATAGCTTTCGTCATTTTACATTAAAGTGCACTGTGTGTAAATGAAGTATTCTGTTCTTAATATAGAGACAGACAAAACGGAGTTTAATTTCCTAGCACACATGTATATTCTACATAACTTGGTTGATCGTAAATAGATGTCGATGAAAGCCTTTTCCAGGTTAAATTGGGAATACGAGTATAATCAAAACAAATGTATGGATGTAAAATTATACATTTAGGTAACATCCATAAATTGATTTTAATTATAATCTAGGATTACATTTTCAAATTTTGTAAATTCAGATTCAATTTTAATAAAGATTTTAATGGAGTAATCAAATTTTCAGTTAATCAATATACTTAACAAGTAATGAATATAATAAGACATTGAAAATATCTGTCGCACTCCGTACCGAGCTCCAAAATGTCGTGTAATTTAAGTGAGTGCTTTATTAAAAGCTTCCTTGTAAGCGCCACTTCACGATTTCCCGAATTTCAAAGTGAATTTTTCAAAATACTTTTCCTACATTATCCGCAAATGCAAATATCATTAAAAACTACTTTTTTACTGACACGATTTATATAATTTTTCGGAGGAGAAATTTATTATTTCATTTAATAGTCCAACAACCACACAGCAAAGCTGCGTAGGATTGTATTCAATTAGGGTAACGAGCTTCTCTCGAACGCTTCACAAAATTGCCCATCTTATTAAAGAAATAGTCCTGAAAACCTTTCCTGGACATTTCTCGTGATAAATGAAGCCGACAAACTTCATTAATTAATTGGAATCTTTGATCTCTGCTTTTGTTTTTTGCCTTTTCACTTTCACTATCTTCTAATAGTATTTTTAATATTGCAAGACGAAAAAACAACGCACAACTTTTTATTTTGATATCAGTATGTAAAATGTAATTAACTTTAAAATACACTCTTTACGGTTTTCGTTGAATTATAATTAGGAAATCTGTTTTAATTTACGAAATATCGTAAGTGTTTCATTATTTTACTTTTTAAAAATATCTTTTTATCGTCACTCAAAGTGATACTGCAATCTTATTATCGTGAGAAAGGGGAATTATGTTAAACTTGACGCCCCTTTTATTACCGCTGGGGTCATGCAAATTTTTTATCCTACTCCGTATTACATTTACATGAAAATAATACGAAGGAAAGAAATTTCATTTTTGTATTTATAAATTATGTAATTTACATAAGGAAATTTCAATTTACTCCCTGTGTATTAAAACACTAAGAACATTGTTTCATCAATAGCAATATTTTTTTTAATATAGAATTTTATTTTAATTTAGAATTTTCAATATATAAGAAAACTTCGTAGCCACAGGGTTTGAGGTATATTCTTTATTACAATTGCTACTTACAACAGAGCATTATAATTTATAGGGTTTTTGGAAACTAAATAAAATGTGCCGTGAGAGTTCGGAGTGCACATCTCTCCCATATAACTCAATTCATTTCTTTTGCATTTTCCAGAAAGATAAGATTGAAAATCACTACATTTTCGTGCTCTAAAAATACTGCCTCTTACTGACTCCTTGAAATAATGATACGAACAGGTATGCTGACAATTATCTGAAAACAATTAAATTTAAAAATTACGTTTTATATCCAAAAAGTATTCATGTAAAAATTAAACCCAAAACCTTGCCACAACAGTTGTATTCATAAATATCTATTAATTTACGAACTGGCTTAAATAACTGTAAGGTAAAAATTTAAATAGCTTTTGTCTGCGACTTCGTCCTCGCGGTAAAAAAAACACTTATATGTATACATTGCATATATATTTTCATCCAGATTATCTATGTCTATGCTACATTATATCAAGATACCTTCTAAGAGATATAGATCTATCTAAACATTCGCATTTACAAGATAAATAAGAAGTAAGATTTACATATGTGTTGTTAAACTTACTTCTAACATCAGTTTCTGAGTGACAGCACGGTTCCTGCATGTAACCTCCATTCGGATAGAAATCTGCGTGTCCTCTTGGATTAGTAATACCCAGAAAATCTACATTTGTATGTATCACATCAACAAACGCTGCATCGTTTGCGGAAAATCCTTCTAATAAATGTGGAACTTCAAAAAATGGCCGCGACGCATCTAATGCTGTAAATACATGAAATCTTTCATAGAGTGCGAATTCAAAATGAATTTATACCGTAAATCCTGATTTACAAATGTCGATATACGAAAGTGTGATAAGTTTACTAACCGGTTAATCTTCCTGCTACATAACCGTTAGTTTTAAGCTGAAAACCTGCAGACCCCATCACGTGTGCTCCTAAACTGTGTCCAATTAAATGCACACGAGACATGTCGAATGCGTAATGCTTCGCTATGGCGATTAGCAAATCACTGATCTGAAATAGATATTAGTGTTTAATTAACAAAATTTAGATAGAGCTGAATTCAAGACAAAAACAAAGTCAAGTAATAATTGGTTAAGCAGCTATTTCTTAATTTTTTTTAGGGCTTAACGAGGCTACAAATGTACAGGAAGATTGAAGAAAGTATGGATTCTATGAAAGAGGACATGCTATGAAGGGAGTGAATTTAGATATGAAGGCTGATAGAGATGTAAGGAACAGCACAAATGTGGTGATAGAGATAAGGGCGAGTTGATGATAATGGAAAAAGCCTTACCTGACGGCCAATATCTGCTGTTTTATACGCAGCAGAAAGGTAACTAATATGTGCTATTTGTCTCCAGTCGACCACGATCACATTGACGTCATGTGTATCTAAATATGCGTCCTTTATCAGTTGAGTGGCGGGACCGGAGCCGTCCACTAGCCAGCCGTGTGTCACCAGGATCAGAGGCTTATTGGCCATAAAGTCTGAATTCGTTACATTGTTCAATGATAATAACTGGTAGTTTTTAGGATTCCTCCTGAAATAATTACACGATTTTTTTAGTAATTGTACAATCTTTTTGAGGAAAAAGTTCGGAACAATTTAATTTTCATATCTATAACTATATGTTTATCTATAATATTAAATGATCCGTTGAATATTAGAACAAACCTCCATATCTCTCTGAAATATTTTGTATTAACAACGTCACAAGATACATCGATAAGAATTTGCTGAGAGTAGCGAGCATATGTTTATTGATGTTAACTAAATATCAATGTTTATATTTACCTTGTATATAACCAAAAACTGCAAACATCTGCAGTAGACTGAACAGGCATGACAACATCATCAACTGATGCGGTCAGACTGACGTAATGTGGATTCCCATGCATATCCGTAAAGTAAACCCAATCGGTTCCATAATTCCCCCTAATACCGATACTGTCAGCGTGACAAAAAATCTGAAATATAGTTTAAACTCATTATACCTATTCTATATTATATCACTAAAACCTATGTCGTATTCTACTAACGTTAACGTTTTGATTTTTTATTACAGTGCGTAGTTTACTATACTCGATTTTTTTACTGAACATTAGCAACAATAAAAAAAATCTACCAAAACGACCAGATATAAAAATTATGATGTCAAAAAAAAGAAAAATGTACTTGCGAATATTAGAAATATCAACATAACGGCTACTGTCCGGAACATTTTCGCTCACTAAGCTATTAGATCAAATATTATATACTTAAGATTTCCGCCACACTCCAATTATTTTAACATAATGCAATTTCCTAGTATAACTAAATAAGGCTACCTTAACTAATTTATGAAGTATTGTTATAGTAACTCCGCCATTGAATTTACCATATTTTAATGCATATATTCAATCAAGATAACGGCTAAAAAAAAGTAATCTTACATTGACAATGTTACGAAATACAAATGCATGTATCTGCAATGCCAACGCTCGGGAACACTAACGTATATCATTCTGCCATGATTTCCAAAAAAAAACATTGCACACTTTATTTACCTACATATTTTATTACCACAAGCCATACTCACATGTTACTACTTACTGTAACAAATTAAACGTATCAAGGATGTAAAATTTAAACGATTAAATTCGTCTTACAATGTTATTTACGAAATATGTTAACGCAAATGAGTAAGATAAGTGTTAACCCTGAACGTATACAAAAAATGTTGTAATGTACGTTTTTTCAAGTACAGGGAGAATGAAATGTAAACCGATATTTCTGTAAATCAGTATTATACACCATAGGATAATACGATTAGTTAATAGTTTTATTGACAAACCATTGTATGCTGTAACCACTGATCTGTATAAATGAATTGGTCATTGCTTGGTAATAACAAATGCATCGAATTGAATTTAAACACTTCTGTTGATGTTACTGACAGTCCATTCTATCTCTGTTATTTTGAATCCTCAACAACAACCGATACAGTGCTGTATGTAAGGCGAAATTGAAAAAATCTAAAAAGTACAAAATACCAAGTCTAGATTATCCATTTATAGAGGTCGTTGACTTTATGTTTTTCCCCGGTATCTCATGTCACTTATAGATTATTGATCGGATACAAATAAAATCAAAAGGAATGTGCATAAATTATTTATTGAATAAAATAGTGACAAGAATACACACGGATTATATTATTTAATAAAATAAAAAACCTTTTTTCGCAAAATTCTTCCAAAATCGCTTTTACAAAAATGTCAATTACAGTCAAAACGTTTTCAGTGTTGTATGAAAATTATAAAAGGATTGTTTAGAAAGGTTTACACCCTTAAAAATACGTCTTTTTCACATATTGTACAAACCTCAAAAACAGCTTTAAATAAAAAAAAGCAATAAATAGAAGATAAATTAAAACAACGAATCACATCGTAGCTCCAATATAATAATTAAATATCTCATAACATTTAAAATCTAAAATATCAATAATCATATATTTAAAACTTGCAAAAATTCAATTACAGCACTTAATTAAAAGCAATTATTTTTTAAACATGTTAAAATTTGGTTCAAACCAGAAAAACGAATATATTATTTTCATAAAAGGATATTAATCAATTAATACTCACAATACTGTGTTAAAATAAAATAAAGAAATCATGGCACTGAATGTAGATATTAAAAAGATATAACATTGGTATAACTAAAAAACTAGTTGTTCGGTATATGGTAGATTTAATTCAATTACAATAATTGCAGAAATGTATTAACATTTAGTGACTTTGATAATGCACCTATTTGTTAACAGAAGAACAATAAGGTCTTGAAAAGCGTGTATTTTGACTTTTGTCCTCCTCCATCCTTTGTCCCTAAATGTATTTATAGTTTACAATTTACAAGAAATTAAATGAATTTAATACTAACGAAACATAATACTGAAACTGAAAATAGAAAAATAAATTAAAGCATTACGATTAAAAGGTTTTTTAAATAAATTAGTTCCATGTTAATACAAGCAAATGAGTTAGAAAATTGACTCAATAATTCACAGCCATTAAGTGACAAGTATAATTTAGTGCGCAGTTCTTGTCAACAACAAACATACAAATATCACTTAGAAATATTTCACTTGAATTTTATTTTTGTTAAAAACCAGAAAACCTGGTAAACTTCAGGCACTAGGTTCTTCAAATATTTATACATATACGAAAATATAGAAAAAACAAATTTACGATATATATGAACACACTCTCTCTCACACTACTTTTTTCAATAAAATTAAGGGTAAATAATGCTGAGGTTGAAAGATTAACATAGTGGTTACTGCCACATGACAGGGAAAAATAACCTTGAATAACAACCTTTTTCTATCATCACTAAGTAGACATTAAATCCAAGACAAACAACAATCAATATCATGATAAACGTTATGTTAGTATTTCCCATTACAAAAAAAATACTACAATATTATTGATAGTGTTGTTACACAGTAAATATTATTAAATAGCAACATTGCACTGTTCGAATGGAATAAAATATACCGAATGGAATGTATCAAAACTGTCGACATCATAGAAAGTAAACAATACAAATGAAGGCACAAGATTAACTTTATCTTACAAAAATTTCGAAGCAAAATCAGCAAATTTGCATTTTATAATAGTAGCAAAACAGGTTATAGTGTATCTTTATTTAACAATTTTTATATTTGGTTTATATTGTAAGTCAATCATAATGTAGTTTATAAAACTTACGACACTAGTGTCATTGATCAAAAATTCTATGTCTATATTTAGGTCCAATAGTAAGGTATTTAACAAATATAAAAATGCATACATACACAAATAATTATTTATATTACAAACCAATGTCTTCAACATAGTCTCTTATTACATCAAATGTTTAAAAGTTATGTGCTTTTAGCAAACTGTATAAATAGCATAGCAAAATTTTAACACTCAATTTTCAAACACAATCAAAAATGTGTTAAAACCTGATTAGTGAAAATATAATCCAGGGAACGACTTCTTAAATTCTAGAAATGAGCAAATTTTAATAAATTTAACTGATCACTCAAATCATGCTATCAAAACTTTGATTTTTCTTTCCACCTCTGTCCTACACATAGGACACAATTCAATTTCAGTAATAGAACATCTTTCACAACAACACATATGGCCACAAGGTACAAAAACTATCTCCGATCTAGCGTCCATACATATTACACATTCCCCTTCCAATTCATTTTGTTCTTCTTTCACAGTCAGCACTCCTGAACATGCTTGGTCCTCAACATCTAAAGGAGCAGTAGGTTGGAAATTGTTTTTATCCCTGATCAATATTTCTTGATTGCCATTAGATAATTTTACATTTATATAGAGGTTTATAGCCCTCATTATCCCATCTCTATCAACTGAAAGTGTTACACCACTTTCTTTCAACTTTTCTGAAGTTATATTACCCAAAAATTCACCAGAAAATAAAAATTTCACCAAAAATGGTAAGCAATGTATAACACTTTCTTGTAAAAGGTAATTTGCTAATATTGGGTCCAAATGTTTACTCACATTTAGCAAGTTTTTAGGTGCTGAATCAATAAGCTTCTGATAGTTTTTCAACCAGAAATCTTTGCTGGTATTGTTTTCAATCTCAGCTTCCTTTATAGTTTCAATAAGTTGCTTCCTTCGTTTGTTTCTTTGAGCATACAAATCATCTAATAAATTAACAAGTTGCACCCTTTGTTCTAGCAATTCATTATAATTATATGTGATGTGTAATTTTTTCTTTTCTTGTTCAATAACACTTAGTTTAGCAAGATGTGACGAAATTAATGATATTTCCTCGTTCAAGCTCCACGTCTTTGCATCAACTTTTTCCAGTAACGATGTGACAAGTGCTTTTTGAATATCCTCATCTTCCAAAAGTTGTTGAACTAAAACTGTCCGTGAGTTATCTTTAGCATTTAAAAATTCTGACAGTTTTGAATTACTCTCTGATTCTTGTATTATTATATTTTCTTTGATATTATTTAAATTATCTTTATAACCTTTCAAAAAGTATTGAACTGAATTTTCATCATTCATAAGATTTTCCATTGCCTTTAAAACTTCAGATTTTTTAATATTATCATAGTTCTGTCTAGTTAATTCAAGAAGCCTATCATGCTCTGCTTTTTCATAAGCCAGTTGTTGTTGTATAACTTCTGGCTTAAGACCATCCGATTGAATGAAGTTCTTTACTGTTATATCAATATCTTTTTCATTATCCTGTATTGCTTTTATTAACCTCTGCCTTTCAACTTCCCTCACTTCATGGACTTTAGCTATTTCTGTGTCTAGGTTTATTTGGTCCTGAATAATCTCTGATAAGAACTTGTCTCTTTGTTCCTGATTTGCTTTATGTATCTTTCTCTCTTGTTCAATTATAGCCGCCTCTTGCTCCTCCCATGTCACAGTATTTTGCCTAATAAAAGGATTGTGACTTTTATGTATTTCACGAACTTGTAAGTCTTCAGTCTCTGTTACTAAAGGAGGTATATACTCTATATTTATTGATTCACATAAAAACATCATTATCGCTTTGGTATCTCTGCATGTTATTTCCGAAGGCGGGAATGTAAACTGATCTCCATCAAGATCTATTTGTCCTAAATTACGAGCTAAACAAATTTCCGGACATAATTCAGTCAAGTCCTCATTCTGACGTAAATTTAAATAATTTAAAGCCTTTAAACTACCTATTGACGGTGTCAGATTGGTCAATTTATTATTTGAAACATCCAATATTCTTAAGTTTTCCAAATATTTTATACCATCTGGTATTGCTTTTAGCTGATTATGTTGTAAATGTAGTTCCGTGATGTTAACTAAGTATCTTATGTCATTAGACAAATGACTAAACCTATTGCAGCTTAAATCGATAATCTTAATGAGGTGTAAATCTGTTAACAAACCTCCATGGTCCAATGTTCGTAAATAGTTATTTTGTAAATATAGATTATCTTTCCTGAACACTTTACAAATGGAAAATATTCCAGATGGTAATTGTCGTAGCTCGCAATCAGATAGATCAAAGTCTGGCTCAGGTGATTCCTTAGCCAAGTACAATTTCCGCTCCAATTTAGCTCGCGCGTCGTTGGTATTTTTGTGTAACAACGTCATCGTTGCTCTCTGAACACTTGACACAGCACAACCCATGAAAATATAAATAATATTACGAAACTCCTAAAAACACTGTCACCGATGCATTATATTAATTACACAAGTTTATTAATTATTCACCGAGTATACATCAATTATCAGTCATACACACCGCAACGCAATAAAGGATATACTTTCGCGATACATTGCTTGCTTAAGCAAACGGCTGCTTCGTTTATCTATAAATTACAGACAATGATAAAGATATTGTTACTAATTCCACCACTTTGCAATTCCTAAATTCTTTGTTAAGTATTATGTTATCATTTTGACAATACCGATAACAACAAATGTCAATGTCAGTTATTTTTTTATAGTACCAAGGGACGTTTCATTTTCTGCATTATGCTATTAAGCTAAGTGATAAAACAAGAGAAAAAAAACGCACTCATAATAGTGTAAATTTCCGTGCGAAAGTAGACAAAAATCTTCGTATTCTTACATAAATTGATATTATTTTAATACAAAAACTTACTGTTTGACTCTTTTTAATGTGCTAATTAAAAATTAAAAATTTAAATGAAATCATTTTTTGGTTTAGTATGTAAATTTATTTACTGGAACTAATAATTAATAAGACATAACATTATAAAAACATATCACACAAATCTTTTAACTAACTTAAAACCTATATACCCAATCAGTATTATCAGCGATTGCAAATTGCTGACGCTTATCACTTTTAGGGCTTTTCATTTCTAACTGATGGAAATCTTTTTTTTCCTCGTCTAAATTGTAATCATCATTGTGTGCTTTAAATTCATAATTATTATTCCAGTCACCACCAGATGGTTTTTTAATACTAGGTTCATAACCTTTAAAAACGTCTCTGTGATAAAAGTTTTCTTCGTTAAGTCTCGGTACAAATTTGTATACATTTTCTTTGTATGCAGGATTTAATGTTTTGAAACTTGAATCTCTCTCTTCCTCGAAATCATTACCATTACTGTCTTTGCTAAAATCTTTACTACCATAATATGATGAATTAGGTCTATGAGGAACATTATCAGAATTATTTTCATTAACATGTCTATTCATGTTAGTGTTATAATTAACTATTTTGTCTTTGACTGGTACGGTCGTATAAAATCCGCTATAATCATTTTTAATTTTGTAAATATCTGATACTTCGATAGGGTAATCACGACCTTCACCATGACTAACTGCGTCTGATTTAATCGGTTTATTATCCTTATCAAGGTCATCCTTTTCGTCTTTATTGGCAAACATAATATTGTTAATGTATTGTTTTATGTTTGATTTGTAATTCTCGAAATTTTCCTTTGGTATGGGAGGAGAGATTTTGCTGTCTTCGGCTTCTGGTCTCATCTCTATAATTCTAAATTGATCTAGAAGTCCATTTTTTGATAGGACTGGGCGCCTTTCATCAGCTGGCATTGGTGCAATTAATTCATGCTGTAAAACTACACCTCCTCTACTTCCTTTTTTTTCGGTAAGCGTTTGCGACAAGACTTGTGGCGCTTTACTAAAATAATCAAACAAATGAAATTTTGGTATATCTGGTAATCGATAAGTTTTTACTGCTGGTAGTTTAATAACCACAGTTTTACCTTGTTGGTAGCCAATTCCATGGCCTTCGAACGGTTTGTTTTTAGAATTCTCCTTTTTATTTGGTTTTCGTAGAGGGACTTGGCTTTCGTCGTCACTGCTGGAGTCAGCATCACAATACATTTTATTAAGTTTTTGTGTATCCTTATCAGATAATCCAAGCCTTTGTCCGATATTGGCTCCGTTCTACAAAAAAAGTGTATAATTATAAGGTAAATGCAAATAACATGTAAAAGCCAAAAGAATATAAATAAATATGCAAAAATGTAAACCTGTTTTGGTACTAAAGTATCTTGTCCATTTGATGAGAACGCCTTTCTACTGTAGTGCAAAACGCTTTCATAGTCGTAACCGATGCCGAAATCAGAAACGGCAAATGTGTTGTATTTTCGAAAGTTATGTCTGGCGGCTATAAATTAAAAAATATCATATATACAGGAGAGGCTTAAAATTTAAAACCTACCGGACTTAACGTCCTTGTAAATATAGTTAAAAATTGTTAAATACAAAATTAATTGACAGTGTACTTACGCTGAAGTATGTTTTCCCAGAGGACATCGATGTAGTCGTCTCTATCGGGGCTGCTCTGCATATGATAGAAGCCGAGGGTATGAAGCAGCTCATGCACCACGGTACCGTGCCTAAAGCAGCCTCGACCGACTGGGTGTCGTCCGTACAAATTCAGCACTTGGTAACCTCCTTGGTAACCCACCTGGGAGAAGCAACCGCGTCTACTTCCCTGGAATTATAATTGAATTGCGTTGAGATATATCAAGTAGTAATTATATGTTAATGGAATATTTGGAAGTATGTTTTTATTAAATTATCCTGCTTGCATATCATACAATCAACATACATACATATTCAATTTAAAATATATAATGCATTGAGACATCGCCTTGCAAATTGTCCATTCTTTAACTAACTGCTTTTTAACTCGTGCCTAGATGCTCTAACTTGTCCCCAATTTGTTATTGCGAACGCGTGCGAGAAACTCGACGGTATTAGGTTACCTACAAACGACGAATATCAGTATGGAAACACTTATGTAAACATTTAAATATATTAGTAGCTACACCGTAATATGCAAACGAAATTCTTGGGGATATACAAAATGTGTTCACATATTTTTGAACTTTGGAGAGGGGGGTGTAAACAGGATGATGTGAAATTTTGTCACTCGCAGCATGTACATGTTCTACCTCCAGTCCCCCTGTAGCCTAAACAACTGGACTGATATTGATAAGTCAGGTGTCATTCTATTCGAATTGTCCCATGAGTACCACTCGGTGCCAATCATCCTTTCGTAACATTTTTTAATGAACATGTAAACCTGTACTAATGCATACCTGTATAACAACCGCGTCTCGATCGCCTTTTTGGTAAGGCCGAAATTTAATACAGGACGCTTGTGCTAGATCTTCAATACCGCTCTGTATGGCTTGCAATTGATCATCATCTGAAATTCAAATCAATCATCTTTTACATCATTCTGAAGTAATTTCTATAATTGACCTTTTAGGGAGGCGCCTGTTCACCTAGACCCGGACCATCTCATAGCTGGCATCTACCACACACTTTAATGAGTTACTAGTAGTAACAATTAAAACCAGTTAACGAATACAAATATATACCCACTAAAGTGTTCACGTTGTATGAAGTATATAACTTCATTATCTGGCCATCTTTTGGTAGTATCACGAAGGCCGTTTCTTGACAACCCTTCAGCGACGGTTTCCACGATGACGCGCCGCTGCCGGTCGTTCAGGATAAGGTCTCCTTCAAACTTGCCGCTCTCCTCCCACGCATTGTCCTGTATCACGTCGTCTTCGTCACCCTCCACATCGGGATTACCTTAAATCGGTGTATATAAGAAAGAAAGTTTATCTCTCTAACTAAAAACAGGGTTACTGCCGAACAGGAAGAACTTTGATGTTTAAATTCCAGTAAGAAATACAACACATTTAATGAGTAAAAATAACATAAAAAATACCGTCCAAAGACGCGTCTAGAACTCAATTTTGTTATGGGACTTACACAAGACTGGATTTACACCGCTAGGCAAGTTATCATTAACTGCAGTCAAAAATAATAGTTTTTTCTGATATTCTATCGCACAGGTCATCGAATTAAAAACACAAAATAAATTCCTATAGCTGAAGAACAGTAAAAAAAGTAATAAAAATAAACAGTGATTCCCAAAGCAGTCTTGGTAGAGCCCCTTGGGTCCACGGGGGATCTAGCGGGGTTAACGAAGGCGGGAATTAAGTTTGGGGTTCACAAATTGAAGAATACGTACAGAAACAAGGGTTTCACGGAAACGTACAAAATATTTAAAAGAGCTGGAAAAAAAAGTTAATAAATTGCGGCTGCTTGTAATGTTTACATTACATGACTTTGTCAAGAAAGACGAACCAAAATTTAAAATAACTTTATCCTCAAACTCGTGATTCCAGTACATGTTGTCTTTTTTTTATTTGTTCGGCTTTTCACAACAAAAATTAGTATAACTAGTTCATTTTTAAATTCCCATACACATACATACACAACAAACAACTCACTTTTTAAATTTAAATCCAACTGTGACGTTTTATGTATAAAATCACTGAACTCTTCTAATTCACTTCGAGTCATCGTCCAGCACTTAGTCACTAGAATATTTAAAAAAATCACAACTCTGGGCCACTTCATGCTTCAGTGATATTTATTTGTTTATTTGTTTTAAATTAGTGCTAATATCATTTTAATAAAATACGGAAATATTTATATTTATACGGTAATAAAAACTGATTTGTCAGCGTTAACGCACGGCGTCCATCGGATTCGCGATTAACAAAACCCATCGGATAGTAGCGAAATTAATATAGGTTCTGATACGACCATTTCACAAGGCGTGGGGCCGCAACTGCGCCCGCTTGCCATTGCCATTTCGACAGACAAGCGTTTGCTTCTCGTTTGACGCCAATCCGCGCAACAATAAATTGCTAAATTTATCGGCCGAGTTGTCGTACAATAAAACTCTTGATTTCCTTTGTATACCGCAATACCATTTATGTCCTATTTGTGTAATAAAAAGTGTATAATTTTAGGTCATTTACACAAACACGTTGCGTTTTATTAAAACGTTTGTTGTATGTTGACAAATCTTAAGACGAATGAAACGCAAAAAATCTATTAATAATTACATTAACGTTTTTGCCGCGATTTAGAAATATTGAAAGAATTAACAAGATAAAATTCCTTACTTCTTTACTTCCTTTGTTTGCATTTAACTTTTCCGGTAAATCACACATTCTACATTCTTTAATATGACATTAAAGCAATAATAATAACGAATTATAATGTAATAAAATTGTATGTGAGATTTTATATTCATTAGTTCCTTTGCTCCTTCAGATGTAAAACAGATCTGTTCACAATTTGCACATTTCAAATAAATAGGGGTCCAAGAAGGAATCGGGAGCAAAATCTTACGATTTAATAAACTCAAATCTTTTATTCATTTATTTTGACTTTAGTGCAATCTGTTGAATAATTATATAAGTAAACGCAACATCAACGCAGTGAATTTCATGCTTAAATGACGATAAACAAAGAAATTGTTATCAAATTAGCGTTACAGGCTCCAATGATTTAAATAAAAAGAAATCATTTTATTTTTACAGCTTGCTAAGCGAAATGGACGGTCAATGCAATTGCTGTACTAAAAATCGATTTTAGACTTATCGCTTACGAGGGCTTAGCTTAAGGCTGCTTAAAGGACTTAAGTCTACACTAGTCAGCATACTAATGCGCTAAGTAAAAGCACTTTCTCGGGCCCCTATTTGATTAGTCGTCATTCTTAAGAGATTTGCTGTGAATGATCGTTACCATCTCAAGTACATGTTTTGGAGATAATAAAAGAGAATTATTAAGCTATTTTAATTATACGTTTAAAACCTCTACACCTAAAACTTATGTTAACAAACAAGTAAAAACTTGTAATAAACAAGAGCAAGCGAAACGAAGAGCATGGAATTTTTAACTCTCGATTAATTAAAATTATTATAATTATATTATTATATACCGCAACCTTGTTAAAAGTAAACTTTATTTACATTGTATGCGTATTACATAAAATAAATCTCGTCTTAACATTTACTGTAGACATAAGATTCGGAAAGTGGTCGGGTCACTTTCTTTTAGTTTCCGATTTCAACTGCGTAGTAAGGATCTTGTCCTACTCAACAAGAACTTGTTTTATAGACAAGCAATGTTACGTATGTACATGTGTACATTTACGTAACATTTATGTATATGCACAAATGTATTAAATACACCTACTCGAGAAACATTAAAATATAGACAATTTAATTAACTAAACTGATAAGATTGACATTAAAAACGCTGTAATTTTCTTTTACTGATGTTATACCAGTAAATGCGAAAGTTTAGACTTATGGATGGAAGGATGTGTGTCAGAGTTGGAGCCTAAACTGCAGGACGGATTTTGATTAAACTTGGCATAGATGTAGTAGGATAGTCTGGAAGAACATTTGATGTACATAGCCTAGGTAGGCTACTTACTTTTCTTTTTAATTCTACACGGACGGAATAACAGACGAGAGTTATAAAAAAAATAATTCGTGTTACATTTTTTTATTTATTAAAAGGTACTACTAGAATACTATTGTGTTGAATAAATTCCAGGTTGTCCGTTGGCAGTTGAACCGATGGCGGTCGCTTAGTGGTCATTCTTCGATGTTATTATAGCAGTTGTACATGCGGTTCAGTTTGATGACGTCCCCACGTGACATGCCCCTCCGTTGACCAATCGTCACGCCCGGCTGTCAACATTACATACATTTAATTTACTGACATATTCATAGTACCTGGGCTAGGGTAGGGCGCGGCTGTCTGACTGCCCAGGGCGACTGGCATAAAGGTGCGTCACTAGTATACAAATGACTCTTACATACTCTTAACTACCCTAGTTCTTGAAATAGAGTAGATAGTAGTGCTAGCTGACACTGCATATTCACCTGAATAATTCACCTTATAATGACCTCATTAATAAAACTGAGGAGCTCACTTAGCGGTAATTAATATTAGCAAATCTACTCGAAGGGACTGCATAACATGTATCTAGTTATTTCATTAGCCGAAGTTTAAAAAGCAATACTATTATGATGGATTATAATGTAGCAAATTACTATTGCTCTAAGTTTACTTCGTCCAAAAATGTATGATTACAGAATTATATTATAAAAAAATCAACCTCTATTGGAATAATGGTTCGACGTCCATTTTTGGAAAATGTCGTGCTAGAATAGTGCATCACGCTGTTGTAGTCGTATTCAACATCGAAGTTTGACACAGTCATATTGTCCTCCTTATAAAAGTTGTGCTCCATGCCTAAATACATAAATATAATTAGCAACGTTGCAAGTACACATAGTAACTACTCGTGACTTTGCTGTTTCATAACATTACTGAAAATGTTACTTACATTTCGTGTAATATTTCGAATTTTGTTAATCGATTAGTTTATTTGCATAAGTTGCCTCAATTTATTATATGTGAAAAATTTTTACAATGAAACATTAAATACCTTCCTGAATATTTTTCCAGACAATGCAAACATAGTCATCTCTGTTGTAAGTACTTTGCATATGGAAGAAACCTAGTGCATGTAGAAATTCGTGCATTATAGTGCCACGGCTGAAACAGCCCGGGCCCAGATTGAGAGGCTGGTAGCCATACTGCCATTGATCCTGATAAATGTACCCTATGTATGAGTTGCACACATTGCCGCCGGCATTCTAAAATGTAATTTTACAAGATAACACCACAAAGTTAAATATGTTTTTATTTTGTTAAATTAATCAAAGTGACGGTATCAACAAGGAATAAATTATTAAGAAACTGATAGCTACCGTAACTCTCACAGCATACTCATTGCTATATCGTCTCTCTTGAAAACGAACACATGAGCTGTTTCCCATAATCCACAAAGCGGCCCTGATTTGCCTTATCTGATATGCAGCTGTAAACAAATTTACTAATTGCTACAATAATAATAAAATTATAAACGACGAGCGGTCGCCCGAGAACTTCGTTAGCGTGGATTTAAAAAAGTCATCTATCACATCCCGCGTGCATCTACCTTCTACCAGCTATCTGTAAAAGTCCCATCAAATCCGAACCCCCCGTTAAAAAAAAGAGTAGCGTAACTATAATATAATAAGCCTATCCATCGTAATACGTCATCTTTCCAAAATCTTGAATTTTTCTTTTGAAATTACAAACACACTACAATTTTATTATATGTATAGAAGATAACAATAAAAATGAGTTACTTACTAAATTCGTTAGGAGCAAAATAGTAGACTAGAGTATTATTTGGCCAGCGCTTGGTAACATCGATGAGGCCGTTGCGATTGTGTTTGGAGATGAGAGCCGATTTTTGTCTGTCCGTCAACAAGATGTCGCCTTCGAAAAACTCAGCCAGTTCTCCTTTTATTGGCAACGGTTCTAAAAAGAATATTTTTTGGATTACGTTGACGTCTTTGCTGTTGACATAGTTCTGACCATATATGCCATGGGGAGTGATTGACGCAGTAAAACCATCACTTCGCGATGTCAATTTGACTACGAAGGCGAGGGAACGTGGTTCACAGACCCTGGAAACGACCAACACTTCGAGGTTGAACCACTACTACTATCTGATACGTAAACGTTAATAAAGAGATTTTGAAGAAAAAGAGATGCACTCGGTAAACCTTTGCCTTCTAGTGCATAAAAAATAATTTACCATAAATATCTGGCATTGGTTCAGCTGTAGTTATTTCTTCTGACAAACCGAAAACGGCCTGGCTATAGATTAACACAAGTATTACGTAAAATTCTTTCATGTCGAAAAAATGTAGGAATCCTAGAGTATACGTTTTAGGAACACTGTAACGTGTCCTATTTGTCCATCGCTTTTAAAGGTGTCCTGCATCCTGTACGATCAGGATGATGGTTGTAACAGGAAACAGCAAAAGTACCATAGACTTTTTTGCCGTTGATACCTATCACGACCTACTTTTCAAAATACATGTTTCTTTGTTAATTTACATTTTACCATGGACATCTAGGAATTATTAGCGATAAAACAATTTAGTAACTACAGCAGAATTAGAGCATGTGCACGTATGTACACTTTATGTGTTATTAATAACACCAAAAAGAAATCAGTACCTAGATTCAGCTAAACTAAGTTGCAATGGTTTAGCAATATTTGATTTCACATTTTTTACATTCGTGTTTTATTGATTTGAGAGTAGTTCGCGGTTACGAAACTATTACAATAGCATTAAAATAGCAAAATTGGGGCCAAATTGTAGAAAATTGAACCAGACTTAGCGATGCAAAGTAATTTATTATTTATTAATGGTAAATGCCTACATATGAAAATTAAAATTCGTGAAAAGGATTTGATAATTTGATGAATTACTCAAATCCGAGGTTAAAAAGGTTCTTAAAAATATTATACCTCTAACCCAATACGAGCCCAGTGCTTGGTTCAGCAATATCATGTCTAATTCAGATATGTAACTTTGAAATCTAACTATGGCAATATTATTAAGGTGGGATATTCGCAAAACAAATGGTTGTTAATCATTTTTGTCTGTAATAAAACTACTTAGTTAATTATTTTGTTCGCAGCGATGAATTTAATATATGTAAGTTTTAAATAAATTCGACCATTACGGGCGGAATTTCAGAGCAAAGTTGGATTCTATTTAACGCAATGTAAAACAAGCAATTGTAGGTACAAAGAAAGTGTTGTTTAGCGCCTGACCTGACCGAACAGTAATATAAACGTCCAGGTTCGTTCCCCGATATGTACTCGAACTATGTCTCTAACAAAGAATATGATAACCCTGACTAGAGTGCGATTCAATCACCTTACACTAATTTCTAATGTTCTCAAAGAAGTACATAAGTTACATATATTTAATTAATATAGCAAGGGTCAGGTTCAGGTCATAAGCGAATATATCCAAAATTAGCGCGTACCATCCTTCGACCACATCTTCACCTTGGTCTAGGTGGGATAGTGGTCAAGCGCTGGTTTTTTTCAGTTTAAAAAAAAAAATTGAAACAAAGTTTGTAATATATTAAATCATTTAATGTGTAAATTCCGTAACAATGTAATATAAATAAAATAATACAGATCTCTTAGATTTCATTTAATCAATTTTCTCTGTAGTTGTTTCTTTTTCTGGTTCACAATACATCTTGTTAAGTTTTACTATGTCACTCTCCGACATTCCTATTCTTTGGCCAATTTTCGCACCATCCTGCAATTAAAGTAACGTTAATACAATGTAAATATTATAAAAAAAAACAATTATGTTAATGTCTACTTTAATAGATCCATAATACTAAATAAGTATAATTTAAAACAAATGTGCTGTGTTTTTGTGTGACCTACTGATGGAATACAATTTTACCTGCAATGGTATAATAGTTTTATTTCCATTCTTAGAGAACGCAACCTCGGGGTAGTGCATCACGCTGCCGTAGTCATACTCGACACCGAAGTCCGTCACTGTGTCATTGTTGTACTTAGCAAAGTTGTGCTCTGTGCCTGAAACACAAATACCGCATGTGAGTCACTTAGATCAAATTCAGTTCAATCAGTAGCTACACGTGTGTAAATCAGCTCTGAATGAACAAGATTAAAAGTTCAGCTCATATAGCCTTGAACCTTTGATCTGCGGCTCAACAACTAAATTACAGCTCACGGCTCTACGCGATGTACTATACCTAAGGGTGTGGACGAACCGCAAACTGCCAGGTGATTCGTAACTCACTCAAACCATACCTCTATATAGAAAGAAATTGAGTGGATCTCAGATCCGAATGATCTGCAGGTAACTATTCTTAGTTGAGTTACCAACGTCTATATATGTGACAAATGAGTACCTGATTTGATATTCTCCCATATGATCTGTACAAATTCATCTCTGTTATAAGTACTCTGCATGTGGTAGAAGCCGAGAGTGTGGAGCATCTCGTGCACTACAGTACCGTGCTTGAAGCAGCCCTTGGCAAGGTTCAGCACCTGCCGCACCTCCTCCTCATCCTCACTTACATTGGTAAAGCCTACATTAGAGAAGCAACCGTTCGATGTACCCTGCAAGTTGAGTAGAAACGGCTTCCTTATAAAATAAACAAACAATGACCGTAATAAATTATGTAGAGGCCACGGCTTTCCATTCGTAGTGATAAAGCAACAAATATTGTAGTTACTTTCACATTAATCTACGCACGACTGCTTACAGATTGCAAGTATCTTACCCTTTTGTCTGTTGCAATGTAAACAACACATAACCCAACTTTTTTGTTTTGTTCTCAAGACTGCAAAATGCGTCGCTTACCTAATTGTTCGTCAAATTCTTATACAAACAGAAACCAACCTTCTAACATAAAATAATTTTGACATTGTATACAAGTAAAATCGTTTAAAATTTAAGAATACCAGCATTCACTTTTTGTAGCAATACCTTTATGAGAACTGCGTGTTCATCATTTTCTTTAGCTCTGAATTTGATACATGATTTATTGGCGATGTCCTTCATTGCAGACTCTATCATTTGAATTTGTTCCTCGTCTGTTTTAAACATAAAAATTATTGACACTTTTCTTAAATACGATTTAAAACACTACATGTGTAACAATTACGAACCAAAATCATCCTTTTGTATATCGTAAACGACAGTACGGTCCGGCCATCGTTTGACGCCGTCCACAAGGCCGTTGCGGTTCATCTCCGCCGTTGAAATGGCCTGCCTTTGATGTGGCCTTAACAACATGTCCCCTTCAAAGTAATCTCCAAATTCGTCGTCTACGCTTACATCTGTACAAAACATTTAACAAAATCATCTAACACGAAGAACATAGGGTGTAAAAAACCATAAACAGAAGCTTAAAAAGGAACCATTGTACTCCTCTAAAAAAAGTTTAAAAAGAATTTGACAAAAGAAAAGAAACAAAAAATGAATTGATACCATCTTCATTAGTTTCAACATCCTGTATTAAAGGCGCAGCGTAACATGTAATTAACACATGCAACAAGGTGATAGTTAATATTTTGAAAACTAAGCCACGATCACCGGTAGCCATGTCTAGAGAGAGCACACTGTACTGCGTGCCCGGTGTTGTGGCTTGACTTTATAATGTGTTAACAGTTATTCCAGACGGCGGGATACGACTATCGATTACCTAATTAGATAAACGTGTAGCTCCTAATCTAAAACGTTTTGTGTGTTCTAAATGAAGTGGTTAACGCTCCTTTAGATATCGTGAGTCCCTGCTGTGCGTCAAGGTTCCAAGTACAATGACACCTTTTAGTGACAACAAATTGAGCCGCGCGGTTTGCCGATGAGTACCTCTCTAACACAGACGGAGAAGCGTTCCTCCGCTTAGGTCGTCTTGCGGCCATCGGCAAATATTCTATAAGCAGTCATAACGTTTAAAATTTTGCTGAGCTTTCTACTACACTTTTTTAATTAATACTTCACGTAAATTACATCAAAAAAAGACATTTATAAGAGTGTTATTTTAATTTTATCAATACTAATATTAAAAAGAGGAAATATTTGTATTTTTGTATGTATTGAAATAAGTCAAAAACTATTGGGCCGATTTCAAAAATTCTTACACCATTAAAAAGCTACGTTATCAGTGAGTAACATAGGCTACGTTTTTGTAATGCTTTATTAAGACAATAAATAATTCTAACATAGTGTATTATTATTATAAACAATTTTTGTCCGTGTGGCATTTTGATAAAAAAAAAACACGAATGTACCAGTAACTATTAAGTAATTGGTAGTCCAGAATCAAATCTCGGAGTGATTTAGGAGTTAAGCACTTATCCAATGCTAACGAAATAATATATGTCCAATAGCTATTATCTGGCATGATAAGAGATTCAATTAATAATATGAGGTGATTGACCATGAGACAATTAGATAATGCGTTAGATTAATATTGCAACAAAGATAAAATGCGTAGCCGACCATCTTAATTACAAAATAACCTGAATTGCAAGCACAGATAATACAATACTAGTAAAGACTATACAAGACGGTAACCTCAGCCAGGGAATACCCTTAGAGCTGCGAGAATTCCTACAAAAGCTCCCAAAACTGCTTTTATATTTCTATCATCTTTATTCAAACTCTTAAAATATTGATAATGGGGTAATAAAAAACATTATTATTGTAAATAACGTGCTATATTTATATTACAAAATAATTACAAAATGAAAACTTGACACACAAAATGTAAACTGTACATGCATGCGGTTCAGATACAGTGGTTACACGTAATGTACAATACTAACGGATTCATTAAAATACTTACAACTAAAAAAAATAAACAGTACCGTGTACAACGCAAAACATTCCATAATAATAATAAACAAAAAAATAATAAATCCATTTCGTACATTATGGCATTCTCATTTATATAATACTGAAGTTGCTAATACAACAAAAATATGTACGCAGTTCAACTGAACTTTACCAAAATCTTGTTGAACTGTTGCAGGCCGCGGACACATTGCGTTCTCCTAAACAAACCCATCACTAATTTACACATCGATTATATTGAGTTATAAATTTAGGCAGTCTTTAATATATTCCATTTAACACCGAACCGCGCAGTAAACCAACAGAAATGGTAACGTCTATCAACTGAACAACACCGAAAATCCTTATATAAACTGCAAAACCAGCTAATAGTATTTGTAAAGCACTGTAAAACATTCTAAATATTGGTCTAGTCATTATTGCATAGGACTTCGCGTCCCTTCAATACAAAGAACTATAAAATCGTTGCGGTTACATAAGAGCACAATGAAACATCTCTTGTACATTGAAAATGACCAATTGTACAAACATTTCAATTTACATCATTTTCAACTATTAATAACTTTAATTCAGGATCTTTTATTAATAGGCCATTAAAAATATTAAGATGTCATACGAACTGTGGCGTCTCATCATTTTAATTTCATTGTTTAAACACAATACAATGTTAAAATTTTAAATTCAACTCTTTTTTTGTTAAAACCTTTATCAATTACACTCGACGTCAAAAGTAGTAGTACAATTTTTAAATTGCAACATCTAAACTAGAAGTATATTACTTTAAACGTCGAGATTTTGATTGTTATTAATAAAAATTGATTTGATAAAAGATCCTGCGTTACCGCCGTCGTCCTTCGCACTAAGTCGGAATGATAAAAATATCCTAACATATTCACTATCATAAGAAGCATGCATGCCCTTCATTCCGACATGTGCGAGTACAGTAGCTATAAATAAAACAATTATCTATACTATCGTCTGGTATTGTCTTAATGAATACATACAAAATTTGACGTATCAAATAATATATTCAAAAAGACAATACAGTACAGTCAGCGGCTCATAGATGTAACATACCACTGGCAGTAATTATCGCAGTTTTATTTTATTTTACAAATTAAATATACTATTTGAATCCTGTAATAATCTAGAATTTAAATTGTACTTTTATGACATCAAATATATTACACTTCTATTGGAATTAAATGTACAAATAAATAAATTTACACCTAAAATGACGCTGACTGTACACGTTTCAGCCTAATGCAAAATGTGTATACTGTGTTTCAAATAAAGAATTAAACCTTGTAAACTAAAGGATCACTTGTTACGATTCATACATTTAAACCGACATTTCTTTTTAATTTCACAATTCGATTAAATAAAATAATGACCATTTACTACAGTAAAGGTCACTTTCCACGATACAAACAAGTTTATTGTATTTTCAAAAAGAAAAATGTAGTGGAAATCGATATATGTACGTTTACAAAGTTTTCTTTATTTGTAACAGAGTATATGTTGGGGTTATCTCGAAGCTTACCGCTAGCTACATTCGCCTAATATAATTGTCTATGCGTAGAGAGCGTCAGCCGAGTAAGCAACGCTCTAACGAGTATCACAAATGTGCAGAAAACCTACTAATAGAAACATTATTGCTATTCCTTACTGACGACCGTCTTAAGGCAAAACAATGGTCAACTAGTTATTTTATTTATTAATATTTGAAATCTAAAATTTGAATATTCGCACTACCAAAGAGAAAGTATTGATTACAAACGCTTATAGTTTTATGACACGAATCGTGACTCATATATCTATGAACGACTTAGATTTCGAAGTTTCTAAATTTTACATCACCCTTGTAGAGTAATTTCATAAGAAAAATATAATTCTGATTTATCAAAAATAAAATGCGTTACAAATTTAAAAAAATACGCGAAGATGAATTTCAAATCATTACACTTGTTTTATCTCTGTTGTTTTCAAAGTGAATGATAGAGACAGTAATATATCATAGTTGTTAAACAGCCACACAATATATTGAGACTATAATGAAGAGAGTACTTGGACAATACGACAGTTCTATGCTACTCTGGCGCATATAAAATAACTAATTATTGTGCTCATACTTGAAAAGAAACACATAATTGTTTGTTAAAATTTTACACACAAAAAAAAGAAATAATTTAGTCAGTACCTTTCGACCTATATCGATAAGAATTTAAAGAAGATAGCGTCGCGTTTTAAAAACATAATTGTCTCTACAAAGTGCCGTGCCTCAGATATATTGTACTTCTTCAACAAACATTTTTTAGGACCTTTTTAATTAATATCATAATTATTTAGGCCCTTATTCACTTAAGAAAATAATCCCATTTTGTTGATATTTCATGTCTTTTTTTAATGTTAAATAATACGTTTAGTGAAAATATAATGCGTTTTAAATAAAAATGTGTATAAAACCACGTCATATTTAAACAGGTCAAAGTTACGTCGTGCAAAGAAACTTTATCTTAGATTTTTTGACAAAATCTATACTTTTGTTATGATTTTGTACACACATTTTTATTTGAAATGTAAATACTTATTACTCGAGTAGACACCGATGCCCTTAAGCTAAACCTAACTTTGAAAGTGCTTTCACTAATTCGATGTATTGTGAAGTTAAATAACTTCAAGTTAATATAAAACGCGATACATGTAATATTTGCGACTCACAAGTGCCTCCGCTTTTTTTACTAAATGACAAAAAAGACTAATACAATTGTCAAAAAAATATTTTAGAAATTCAAAAACCTATTAAAAATTCCCATATTTATGTTTAGGAACATAATACACTCTTTTTAACTTTAAAAAAAAAACACTTTAGAAATATATGAAAATAAACATGAAAACCTTTCAAATTGTAGAGACATTGTGATCGCGACGGAGTAAAGGCTAATATGATATCTACAACAGAGCTAGCGGCGAATGTTTTATTGTACTATTTAAGTCACGCGCTGATATGTAAAGACTTTACAGTTATTTGCAAGTGGATGTGAGTAAAGACTGGAACACCGATCGATTGTGAAATTCATCATTTTATGATCTCACTAGAAACTTATTATTAGTGTCATTTCTCAAGAAACAACTGTAGCCTTGTATTCGAATCGGAAACGGTTTTTTTATGAAACTGTGATTAATTGGCTAGTTTCACAATATTACCACACTCCTAGTTCAATTACAAAGTGACGAAGTTCAAAATTTATCGGTGGCTTGTATATATTATGTCTGCCGTTCGATTTGTATCCTGCCACATCACATTCGCCCTTCGGAGCGATCACAGTTGACAATTAGCGTCATTTATTCACAAACACTATATATATAATTAGGCCATTTTAGGACAGATAATCACATTATGAAAGTTACAATTCCTTGCGTGTACATTGTTCTCACATCTTCACTGATGTCTTTCAATATTATATTCTTTGGATTAGTGTATACCTGTAAACAAGGTACAATAGTTTTAACATTATAATCTACAAATACAACAAAGGTATTAGCCATGTCAAATATCTTGTGTTGTCACTTGTACAACGTTCCAAGTGTCCAAAATATTTAGAAACCATATTAAAATGAAATCTTTTACACTGTTTAAAACTTTGGTATTTTGTCTTTCAAATTAGATTTTCAAAAATCAATGACCTATGGATGTTGGCACGATGAGCAGTACCTTCTCTGCATACAATTACACATAAAGTTGTTTCAATACATATAGTTACTTTAATAATTAAATAAAGCTCACCATTTATAGTATAAAGCCTATGCAGCGGTCTGTGCGGTGGCGTTGGCGTTAGCGTTGGCGTTGGTGTTAGCACTGGCGTTAGCGTTAGCACTGGCGTTGGCGTTAGCGGTGGCGGGCGGCGAGGGCTGGGAGGCGTTCCTTGCGCGGCCGCCGCGGGGCTTGATGCTCTCCGAGACCTGCCACATCGCCTCCTCGCTCAGCACGTCGTCAAACCCGTTGAACATCGCCTGGATGCGCTCGTTCTTCTTGAACTTGTACTGTCTATATAAAAAACGTACATATGTTAGTAATTTTTTTCATCCTTAACTGAGAATGTCTTTCGGGATTCGGAGCCAATCTAAGTTAAGGGTGACTAGTCCTTAAACAAAATCGTGGGCTCAATGAGCGGAGCTTCACTTTTAAACAACATAAATCTTGACCTTAAATTTTACAATTATAGCTAAAATAATACTTACTCTTTGTGAAACCTCTTCATGCTCTCCATGACTTGATACTGCTGCCACCGCTTGGTGAAGTTGATGCTGCCGTTAGGCAACAGGTCGGGGTTGCCGATGTGCACGAATGTCAGATCTTGCAGGACTAGACCACTAGAACAAATTATACAGAATAGTAGTAGAAACTAGTATGAATATGAACAGTACTGGTGTTTGGATAGTGCAAAGTCTGCGAATTACAATCACTTAATATCGTTGGCTCCTTCTTCCTCCTTGAGGCGTATTAAAAAGAAAAGAGGACTGTATAAATCTCGCCTGGAGCTCAAAAGCAGACACTAAATATGTATAAGGTATAACAATCGGAATAAGAGCAAAAAACGAGAAGTTTGTGTGCTACGTGCAGCGAGTGAGTGGTGAGTGAGGTGTGAGTGAGCAGTGAATGAGTAGTCAAATGAGGTGTAAGTGAATATTGAGTGAGTTACATGTAAGGTATGCAGGGCGGCTGCGTCTCCGCGAGCGCGGTGCGGTAGGCGCTGAAGGAGCGCGAGGAGTCGATGAGCGCGCAGTGGTCGTGCAGCGCGTCGGCGATGGCGCGCGGCCAGCCCAGCCGGCGCACGGGCGGCGAGTCCAGCGCCGACACCAGCGCCAGGTACGAGTTGAAATTGTTCATCTTGCGTAGCGCCTTCATCACCTTCAGGAACTTGCTCGCGTACTTCTCGCGCTCTCGACCCTCCTCCTGACAACATATACAACAACACAATATATTAATACACTTTTAAATAACACACTTTATAAAGTACACTTCTGCGGTGATGCTGCGCAAACCGAACGCAGAAGCTATACGTTAGCAATTGCCAGCGTTTTGGTCCGCATAGTATTAAAGAGATCATACCAAAAACGAAAAACTATTTATTCCTCGGAAACCTGACATTTGACAGGAAACTGGAACCGTTACTATTTCTGGGACCGTAAGTAGCCTACGTGTTCTTCTGGACTATTCTCTACATCTATGCCAAATTTCATTCAGACGTTCAGCCATTCAACCATCTAAAAATTTCTTATTTATAATATTATACTAAGAAGTAAGATATAATTATTACAGGTCAAAATGATTGGAACAGAATTCATCAAGATCTGTTTAGCCGGTAAGCTACAAACTCGAATAAACATCTTACTAAACTTTGGCATGGTAACATTAATAGTAAGTAAGATTGACCTGTTCGAGTATCCTGGAGCGCGCCCAGTAGCTCATCTTGTTGAAGTGCTCGGTGAAGCGCGTGAGGTTGGGCGAGCTCTCCTCGGACTGGTCGCGCGGCCAGGAGAGCACCTCTGCGGCGGAGATGCGCACGAACAGCGCCGCGTCCAGCAGCGTCATCTGCTCCGCCACCTCGCCCGCCTTGAAATCCAGCAGCGTGTCGCGCCGCAGCGACACCGCGCCGTAGCACGGCGTCTCGTACTCGTACCGGTTGTTCGACTGCGACACATCTCTCACTTATACTAATATACTTCGTGGCGTTGGATGTCAGCAATCACAGCTTATTGGATAATTCCTTATTGAAAAGCCCTATACTTTAGGTTATATGTTTTCACGGTATTAAACTTATGGTGTAAATAACTTGGAAAATACCGTCATACGAGAAAGGGACAACAAGCTACTAACTACAATCTGTCACCATCAAGGTTGCCATGGTAGCGGTAAATGTTATTCTAAGGCTTTCATTGTCATTTAAATTTAATTACCTGTTGGAAATGTAATTGTTTCTGTTTATCGACGAGTATCTGCCGCAGCGCCTTCGCGATCGGCAGCTCCTCCGCGTCCACCAGCCAGTAGATGAACTCCATTATCTCTTGCATTAATGGACGATCCAGATCGGCCATACTAAATTTAAAAATACATAAATGTACAAGAATATACATTTATGACATTAATATTTATTATCTAACTGAGATCACAATAATTGTGTTTTCATCATTATTAATATTATGTTTGAGTTTGCCTCTTAAACAGCTGAACAGATTTTGATAAAATTTGGCATAGTTGTAGAACGTAGTCTGGAAGACATAGGTTACACTTGTATTTTTCGTTAATTCCATACGGAGTCGGGGGCGAAAGCTAATTGTTATAAGTATTCTCACGTGAGATCAGCTACGATTCTGGCAGGTCGTGCGTGCGTGCGCGCAGGTGGCGGGCGCGCCGCACCAGCCGCGCGATCAGCGCGCGCGGCGACACCCACGTGCGGTACGTCGCCAGGAACGCCTCCTGGTATGCGAAGTCTGCGCACGCGCACGTTAATACACATACACACATATCGTTCAACTTCTAACACCACGGATGTCAGGACACAGAAAAAACTGTATAATTTTATACATAATACTAATACACTGTTTGTGTATACTTAATATTTAATGTAGAATATGTGTTTCTGATAGGCTGAAACGATGCGTCTTCCGATTCTCTAGTGTATGGTATTTTTGGTATATCAAATAGCCAAAAATGACTTACGTGGTGTTAGAACTTCAACGACTATATAAATGCAATAATTTACTCATTAAACAATCATGCATAGATGACTTAAATTATATACAAAAAAGTTATGTGTTCAATCCATGCTCGGTAGTGCAAGGCAAGGCATTGTTAATAAGTGTGAGAAATGAAGCTATTAGGTTCATAGTTTAGCAAAGTGATCATAAATCGCCCAAAATCCCAGCAACATTTGTAAAGCTTTAATAACATTAGTAACAACCAGCTTTTTCAGTCCCAAGTCATACAATGAGCCAACCGAACCACTTACGCTCGTCCGTCTCTGTGGAAGCATGAAAGTTACAATGTTAGATGCAAAGTGTTTCTCGTTGTTAACCCAAATGACTGGAAAAACATGTACTAATAGTAATTACTTATGACAAATATTTCTAAGGAAAAAGACAATGAGAAATAAGTTTTCATAACATGCCTGAATGGTAACTATGTTGTAATAATCATTTAATACGTCATCTCAATTCCATTCATGCTTGTAATGTTATTTACTTTGAACGATGCATCAAATGTTGATTTATTTTACAAATACTTAAGTAACATGTTTCAATACTATAGAATGAGCACATTTAAATAATAACAATAACTATACCAATAAACACAAATTTATCGCATATATGTATCGCACTACTGTGTTATTTATTTTAAATATAAATAGTATTTTTAAAATTTTAAATTATACCCTTGTATTAGTAGAGACTAACAAATTAGATACAAATAGTCAAACAAGGATATCTGAGCCGGTTAGAGGCATTGTTGTCACTATTAAATCCCTTAGATAACTTATAAAACCTACTTAGTCATAGACAATAACAACAGAAAAAACAGTTGCAGAACTGAGCTAAAACAACCCAATCCTGGTAAGAAAACCATATCTTAGGAATATTATAAAAGAACTGAGCGTCTATACCGTGTTTCAGATAGGCTTGTCAGTCTCTATGAGGGTGTGACAGTGTAGGTGTAGGAGGTGCGGCAGGTGGCGGAGGTACCTTTGGTGGCCTTGGTGGCGAGCACGATGAGCGCGTCGGGGTGTCCGCCGCGCACCTCGGGCCCCTCCTTGTCGCGGTCGCGCAGCAGCAGCCACTGCCCCACCTCGCTCTGCAGGATGATGTCGTCCGCGCCCTCCGACACGCCCTCCGCCGCGCCCGCCTCCGCGCCGCCCCCGCTGCCCACGCTGCCCACGCTCCCAGCGCTTCTCTGTAACACATTTTTATATATTTTGTTATATACATCTATACTAATAAAAAAAGATTTGTAATTTTGTATTTTTGGATGTATTGAAATAACTCGACAATATTTAGGTGCCACGTAAGTTTAAGATTTAGGAAGACCTTTAACCAGAAACCTATGTAAGAATACTGTCGGGATTGG